GCCATTACGAAGGTTTATCGTTCCTGAGTTTAAGGAGTTGCATAGTGAGGCTGATACTAATGGTGCTGAGAAACCTATTAATGTGGATGCAGTGCGAGAGGCACAGCAGTCTGATTCCACATCAGAGCGTGATAGGAAGTTAGTGAGTACAGATGATAAGTTGATCCCAGGTCGTAACAATCGGGCAAGGATTTTGATGAACAAGGGGCTGATGTATAGAGAGTTTCAGTCACCTCATGGTGATAGAGGACGAGTGTTACCATTGTACCATTGTGTTACCGTGACCAAGTACTAGCACTTGCTCATGAGTCAGTTATGGCAGGTCATCTGGGTGCTAAGTAGACTACAGTTAGAATAGCAACTCAGTTGGTCTGGTATGCAGTTCCATTTCAAATGATAGCTATGGAAATGATTGCTCCGATCAGTCCAGCGACTGAGAGAGGTCATAGGTACATTTAAACTGTTGTAATTAAAGGAATTAAAGGTAAAGAAAATATAGGTGCAGACTATTTAAGCAGGGTTTAGAATGCTTAGAATTACTGTTACAATATATTTTTTTCTAATTTTGAGAAATGTAAATTTATTGGCAGTTGATGCTGATTATTGTACTGGAAATGTACCATGTTCAGACTTGATGAGGGGGGCAGTGTCATGAGAAGAAACGGTGTGATAACTGTCATAAAGGTGATTGACTGGTCATACTTGTTTTCAACTCTGGAAGGACAGTTGAATCTATCAGGTGTGCTTGTGATTTACATAACAATGGGGGTTTACAACTTTGGAAGGACAATAGGAATCAACCAGGTGTGTTTTGATTTACATAACAAAAGATGTTTACGATCTACTGAGTTGTCATAGCTTCTAGAAAGAACACATTCTGATTGGCTCATGGGGAAACCCAGGTGGTGTCCCTGAATCTGGGCCATTTATGCCTATAAATTGGACAGACTGAGGACAGTTGGGGTCCATCATTTCAACTGTTTACCCTGTGTGTAGCTACTGTGATATTTTGAGACAAGTGACACAGGCTTCAACCATCATTCTGTGAGACTTGTATGAACTGCTCTACGATCTCCTGCTATCAGCGGTGCCCTCCAGAATAACAGCATTCCTCTGCAAGCAAGACTCCTGTATTTCTTCGTTGTTGTGTTGCAGAGTCTATTGCCTGTCATCCATTTCTACATCCTGGAACTGTGAGTTATCACTAATGTACACTTCCCTAGGCAATCCCCTATTTTAGTGACTTTATTCATTGTATTTTTCTGTGCTCTATTTCTTGTAATTATTTTGAGAGATATTAAATCCGGGAGCTTTAACTTGATATTTTGGTGTGTGTGTATTTCATTTCTCTACTATTGTCTTGTCTAGCAGTACAAGCAGTACATTCTAGCAGTGGAAGAACCCAGTCCTGTCTAGTGTGAGTTTTGTGGATGCCCTCTCATTAGCAATAAGCTGTGACACTTGCCTGGTGTTAATAATTGCATGACATGATATTTTAACACGAATATGCAAATGTACAACCCAGAGATGGGTGATAGCATGAACGGACAGCTTTAGATTTCACATACACAATCCAGGCATTTAATATCAAAATCCGACCTTGTAAAACACAGGAAATTAGCATCTGAGTTAATGAAAAATTATAGATATGCATGTAAATGATTAACTCTCTTGTTTTACGGCATTTTGCAGGCACTCGAACGAACCGCTCTTGCAGGATGACGGGTGACGCAAGGGGAACTGCCTTCTTCCTCTTCTTAGTGTACGCTGTGGCGCAATGGTAAGAAAACACATATGTTTCATATTTTAGCAGAGAATGGTAGTTTTAACCAAACCGTTACCATGGTAACCAACTATTTATACATATATTTAATATAGCTACATCGATCGCCTTGTCTTTAGTCTACCACATATGTTAAAATTGTGGCATGTTTCATGTATGTAGTGTTTTATTTATCGAACAAACAGTTGAACATTCAGGCAAAATTAAAGTCATAGTCTAAAATGCATTAATATTCACGTAACTATGACAAGGATTAACAGAGTTTGCGAAATATCTTCACAAAATAATGTAACAGACATATTAAGTATAGTGAGATTCACTAGACTAAGTACACAGATAAAAAAGCATTTTCATCTTTGTTGTCTAAAATTACAATATGTTAGGAAACCATCTATTTGTTCACGTATTTTAATATGCAAATGTCTTTAGTTTGACACCCAACTTGGTTCGCCTGTAAATTTCATGTTTGAAATTAAAACTAATATTCACATTTGTGGTGCAAATATGTAAACAAATTGTTAATCCTTTGTGCTATTCACCTTCCTATGTTATGGCAAACGCCATAACAATGTATTTCATTTTGATGTGTGCTACAACAGATATTAAGAGCAAATGGCCGAAAAGCTTCAAAACATGTGTTTTCAACTCAAATATTGTTCCATTCTCTGTGACCTTGGTAATCTTCAGATAAGGATATAGTATCTGATTATATGATAACACTGCAATATGCGCAAGTCAGGTGAAACAACAGTGACCTTCGGTCTAGCCATATTGCTTTATAATTTATTGATATTGTGTTTAAGCAATAACAATTTTATTCTAAAATAGTAAATTCAGTCACGGTATATTTTTTAAGATCATTGATGAATCGTAATTGGTTTTAAAAGACAATGTTCTTTTAATTATTGATTCTGGATTGCCAGAGCAAAGCTAATGAATATGCAAATTGCTGTTGTATGGGGCTAACACTTTGAATTGAATATTTTTTGTGTATTCGTTGCCTTTTTGAACATTCTCTCGTGGTTCGTAGAGGTCTAATTTAACTAATTTCCTAGTCGATGAGGCATCCACAATGCGACGTGAATCGTCAAAGTGCGCTCCCTAATTCTGTGGAAGTACTTTGTTATCGTTGATTCGTAAAGCGATTACCAGGAAATGTCTGGGGTTTTTTTTATGAATTTAAATTCCTTTTTACAATTGTGTAGAATATTCATCTCAGCAGCTCGTAAGTTCTTTGTAAAGTTATAATGAATAATATTATATCGCGTATATAGGTATAATAACGGTGGATTGTCGATTAATAACTACTGGCAGTGGAGGTTCCATACGTTAATAATTACACCATAAGCTTCGTTAATGTTTTTTTATGAGTGGCAATACTCCATGCACAATGCAATTCAACTACGTCATTGTGTCGCAATATGACGCTATAATAATCAATGTATGTTCCCAATAAAATCAGGGGTAATCATTATATCGGACTTGTCACAGCTTGATTCAATTACATTTTTTCGCTAACGGGGAATATCAAATTACATTCACGCCGAACAACGTGATAACGTTATTTAGAATGTACTGGCAATCACTGTTTTTTGTTCGTGAACAAAATTCAAAGCCACAATGTCAACTAATTCGTTTCCACCTCGCCAATTTGCATTTCTATGATGTATGTTTCACAGCCGCGATTTAATTTTCTCTATTGGGGAGTGAAGTCCTTGCTAATAATTACATTAGTGTGGTTACATTTTTTTTTCATTTTCAGGTTTAAACAGGTTTTGTTGCTCCTTGCTCTTATATTAAGTGACATGTCTATAAAGTGTACCATTTAAACAAAACTCACATGATGTATTACGACACACAATGGATAACTTGTGACCATTGTCAAAGAGTGCACTCTCTAAAATACGACAATACAACTACACTTTTCATTCAAAGTTTAGTGTCAACACATATACGTATGAATCAGTGGAGAACTTCTGATGAGACCACTGAAGAGATCGGAATACCCGGAAAGCCACTAGCATAACCACTGAAAAGATTGAAGATTAAAAATGGTTGCATTATTGGGAGGCAGCATATGTATAAGCATAAGCATGATTGACAGGGTAATTGCGCTAATTGCGTTGACACCTTCCTTCTTCAATACCCTTAGTTCTTAATTAGACTTTTGTGCGGGGAGTCGTGGATGTATATAATCTTATTACAACTCCCCGGTGGTGTATTCGTCAAAACAAGTATTGCAGGTAACGCTGCGTTTCGTTTCAATTATAGGTTTTAATATTAATACCCCGGCGTGTATTATTTTCTTATCCACGAACATTTTTTGTGCCGCGGTAAGTGAGAACACAAGTTACATTTGCACTGTGTGGCGACACTGGCTAACCCATTTGGTGTTATATTGCCCAGTCAGTGGAATTTATTTAGCATTTGATGTAATCACAACAAATATTTACAATATCCATGTGAAAACACTAAGGCCAGCATATACACATGATAAGCAAATATGGATTACTGTTGTCAACTGTTGGCTATTACAATATATATATTATGGTCAAATCAATCGACCATACACTGCGGCAATTATTAGGTGTTAATATCATGATGGTAAAATACTCATGATTGATTGGTGCATTATGCCATCATTATTTCCGTTATATTAGTCACTCGAAAGTGCACTGGTTACAAGAATCGCTGAATTAGAGTTGCATTGATAAATGTGTAAATATCAGCATATGCTGCCCAATCCTAACCAGTCTTAAATATCCGTGAAAATGTATCAATTAAGCGCATTGTTGAGTACGTAGGATGGAAAAACAAGCGAATTACAATATTCGACCGAGGGTTCGAACCAACGCGTCTCTCAGATAGTGTTTTATTCCTCTCCTTCGTTGTGTTCACTGACACTTGATATGTGTTACCATGGTAATATGAACTATGGACGAGATGACGGTAGAGAATGCAACACTATTAGTATCTAAAAAAAACAAGTTTCGTGGCTATCTCGCTCCAAACGAGATCTCGTCGGCCATTATCATCTTAGGCGAGGAATGCAGTTAGTATTCAGTCGTGTGTAATTCGCTGTACGATTGCAAGATCTTACCGAAACAAGTAGCTGATGTAATCATAGGAGGATAACGTGTGCGGGCGATAACGACATTTTCAACCTTAACTGCATTTTTTCCTGTGATTTGTTGTGAATCCCAAGTAAGTTTAGTGCCTGAACAAAGTCCTTGAGAAATTATATATATGAATAAATTTGTCGCTATTTCAGTTGTTATTTACTCATTGTCATTTTCAAACATCGTACCGATTATTGAATCGCTTAGTTGAATGCGTATCGTATTTGCTGATACGCACAACCTGCCTTTGTGTGAAGGACATTTGATACAGGTGAAATACTTCAGCTGTTCAGAGTACGACAAGGTCATGCTATATGTTTCACAGTATCGAGCCACTGCGCAAGAAAAATACATTTAGGTTAGAAATACAAATCAGATTCTAACTCGTACTGATATAGGTTTTCTCCGTGCCGCATGTATATTCAATGAGATACAAACGTGGTGATTGTTTCTCTCAATTCGTAATACGCGCTGCTGCACAGTGTGTCTGTTTCCGTGGTATTCCGAATAGTAGTCGGAATCTATGCTTATTATTATTGATATTTAGTGAATGTTACGTAAGTGGAAATGCCATATTTAAACATAAACCGTTGAACAACTGTCGTATAGGGAGATTTTCAGGACCAAGAACACAAAACAAAATAACTGTTAATCCACGAGCACAAAACAAAATAACTGAACTGACAAGTACACATAGAAATTGATATGGACTGCATCGTAGATATGAAGTGATGTCAGGTGTTTCGAAAAGAGGGAGCTCATTCTACTTCGCATATATCATTCGGAGTCGTAATCAAGATATGGTTAACATCAATTGTGTGTTTGAACTCTTGATGCTCGTGTAACTATAAAATTTGAATTGCGATATCTCAAATTATTCAAACAGCTGCGCGCAATGATATGGTGTCACCTTATACACTGTAATGTAGTGGGTAGATATTCTACAACTGGAAAAAGTAGTCCTATGCGGTTTTTTCAACAAATGCATACAATTGCGGGTATGCAAATTCAACGATTGATATTGTAGTTTTCAATTACGTATGAAGACACCGTGTCGACACTATTGAATTTCGAGTGTACACTACTCGGAGCTCTCCAAAACAAATTGCCACGGGAACTCAATGTGAAGTCGAGGAATTACATGTGTCTGATATAAAAGTTAGGGTTTAAGTCATTAATCAGTAGATTTTCACCGGGGTCTTTAATCCGATATTCAGATCGTAAAAAACACAGCCGGTCATTAAACCGGTTGCGCACGTTCACAGCGTCTGTAACACCATTTAATCGCAATTTGTTGTCGCTACGTTTCATCGCTGCATATCTTTATTTATGTCTATGGAACTTTGACTATGTCGGAATTAAACGAGGTTCATAAAACCTACTTTTAAAAGGCATAAAATAACTTAGATTCATCACACACGTCACACGAGGTTGTGAAGTGATAAAACGTGTATTGATTTGGTGAGACGAGTGGAATAACAATCAATCTAGGCTTAGTAACAGATCACAACACTTAACAAACTAATCACTTTACAAGTATTCAATATTTCTGACACATTTTTTTTAAATGATCGATATATTGTCAGAAAATTTCTTGATCACGTTTTAAAATAAATACCTAGTGTTAAACTAGTGTGTAAATATTTTTGGTTTGATTGAAAAGCCAAAAGTTTGTCTAGTCGTTTAGTATATCAATAAATTTATAAATATTCACCGATAACGTCATTTTTTTTAAACGAACGATTTATATATTTCCATGAATGTTTTTGATCATGGTGACACCAATCACTGGAACTAATTATTCGTTAACTGCGATTAATTGTAAAGACATGTTAAACTATATGCTAGCTTCGCTATCTATGGAAAACATCGATCATA